TCCTTATGGTGGGCTTGCAGACGTAGCTTTCCAAGATCTTCGGCGGTTTCTTGGTGCGTTTGGCCTGGAGCCCAATGCGGAGTCGTACATTTCCCTCGGGGCAGCTGGTCTCTCTGCCGGAGATCTGAAGCTGTTGTTGCCCTGTGCTTCCACAGCGGCCCTCGATCAGCAGCTCCAGCACTGCCCCCTTGTCCCCTTCTCTCTTTTTCCCTGATCCTCTCTTCTCCTCCTCCTTCTGCCCAACATCTGCATCACCCTCACCCCATCGCTTTTTCTCTGAAACTTCAGAGTCTTCAGATGCAGAGGTGGGGTCCACAGTGGAGTTTGTGGTTGGAGGGGTTCCCCCCTTCACTCTCTGGTCCATCAGAGAAGTCAGGGGGGGGAGGCAGGATGCTGTGGGGTCCCCAGTTTAACACTTTTAAATTATCCCGCTGGGGTTATTGGGCTCAAGAGCAAAGAGCCAAATGTAGGTTTAGGTTCCCAAAATAATATCCTGATATAGTCCAAGTCCAGTTGGGCTTTTTATCCAGCGAAGGAATGTCTTTCTCTGGTCCTTCAAGCTTGAACTGAGATGGAGTTTGAGGGAGAGAAAGAAAAGACAGTAAGACACAGACAGAAAGATAGAGAGGCCAGTGATTAGTCATTTCAGTGAGCTCAGATGCTGAGTAGCAGCAGTACAGGAATCGAAAGGGGAAAGTACCCTTCCTGCAGGCAGCTGTGGAGAGGTGCTTAAGTCTGTGTCCACAGAGATGATCTCATCATACAGAACCTACAGATCTCCTCACCCAGGGGGGCAATCAGCGCCACAGATTCCCAGAATGTCGGCACTAACTGGAAGAAAGACCTACTCACGTTCTTCAAGAACAGCCTCGGCTGGTTTTCTCGAGTAATCTGTAAATAACGGCAGCTCTGAAAGACAGCAAACGCTTCCCAAACCTTTTACTTATGCTCACTCCGCCTCCTCTTCCCAAATCAATATATCAATCAATCAGCTCCTGACTAATTCAGTCACTTATCCAGTCCCCTCCCCTTCTCTCCCCACTGTCTTTGCGCCTTCTGTTCTCAGCTACTCCCACAAGCACTCCTCCACCCACCCTTCCCTCTGCTGTACTTTCTTTTCTCTCCGAAACTCCCCTTTTCATGTTGGGCAGAAAGCTTTTGCATGCATTCTCTATTAGTCCCATCTACTCGCTCTCTCTCTCTCTCTCTCTCTCTCTCTCTTTGTAGACCACACAGTAAAATGGTCAACTCACACACTGTATCCATGTTAATCAAAACCATATTTCCTCCTCTGCTTCGTTCTTTTCCTCCTCTTCAACCTAAATCCCTCCATTCACAGTCAGACCATTCCCCTCCTCCTCTTTCAGTAGTGGTAACACAAATCCGTAGGAAAGGGTAAAACTTATTTTTGGAAAGGAGTGCAAATTCCTCCTCCTCCCATTGCTTCCTCTTAGTCAAGTAAGCTTTTCATTGACCCCATTGTAAATTGCCTTTTTAATATACATTATAGCAAGAAACACAGCCTAAAAAAACATTCTCCTCGGCAGAAAAAAAACATTCACTCTCCCTCGACCTCTGTTCAGCCCAGTTTTTAAACATATCGAAAGGAAGCAGCATCTTCTGTCATGCTTCCTTCATTATATTCACTCGCTCATTAAGGGAGAACACCATCCATTTTCTAATAAAACACACCCGCCTAGCATTCTTTCAGTCCTCTCCTGAGAGCCTCTTATGAAATAGCTCATCTGTCTCTGAACGCCCCAAACTGCCTACTAAAACTTACAAAAGCATCTCAGATAATGTTTTCATTTAAGAGCTCAGTGGGCTATCTCTCCTGCCTCTTGGTCCCTCCACACCCAAACCCTTTCCTTGAATCATTCGAAGCTCGAATAAACATCTGTTCCAGTGACTCTTATGTAACAGTTTTGAAAAGCATTTCCGATGCCAAACCTCCTCACAATCAAATAAAATGAGCACAGAGATGGACAGTGTTCCTCTTAAAAAACTGCAGCCTCTTTTCATGACCTCTACTCCCAAGGCCCGACCTGCATGAAGAAGAGGATACAGGCATGAGAAGAAGCTTCACTCCTGTGGGTGATACACATGTTGTGCAAAGGGAAGAAGAGCCAAAGTAAGGAATAAGAGTGGCAGGTTTTCAAACTTAAAAGGCCATCCCATTCAATAACAGTCAAAGTGCATACTTATAGCTTTTTATACTCTCCAGAGTTATACCTCTCAAACATAACTCAAAATTATTCCAACATTAGACTAGAAGCTATTTCCAGTGACAGGATGATGGGTGGACTTGACACTGCAGTCAGTGTGAGTTCCTCTGCGGCTCTAAGGCGACGATTAAATCATGATAATGGCCCTCCATATTTCCAGCCATCATCACCATCCCATGACGGTGTTATCATCAATAACTACAACACCATTATCCTCTGCCTGACAACAGCAGGAGCACAGAAGCCCTGCTGGAAATTAGGGCTGCTGTGATGGCATCTTAAAATACTAAAGCCCCACTCCACAGATACAGGGAAGTTTCTCACGTGAGTCTCTCTTTCTCACACACACACACTTTTTACTAGTTAGTGTATTTTAAGTGTGTTGATCGTACATTGTGTACCCAGGTCGCAGCTGCGTAGGTTGACAGATGTTGCTACTGTAGATACAGTATGGGCAGTGGGGGTGTTACCGCACTTGAGCAACCTCTCTCTGGTTTACTGAGGACGTCAACAGGGGCTTCCTTCTCAAAAATGACTTTGCGCACCTCTGAAAATCACTATCGCCTGATGCTGTCGCACTTACAAATGATACACACATGCACGTGTTGTTGTTGTCGTCACTCCTATCTCCAGAAATAAAACATAAAACACGTTTAAGCGTCCTGAAATATGCACACATTGAAAGTCAACATGGAAGTGGGGTAGCGTCAAAATGTGTGCTCGTGGTGTTATTAATGTGGATTAGTCCTCGAGCCACCTTTTCCTCTCTCTTCTATCTGTCCTCTGCCAGCCCTTCTGCTGGTGTCAGCAACATTGAAATAAGAAATATCACCGTACACGGAGAACAGGGGTAGAAACATACTCGGCAACAAGGGGATAAAATTAGCGCAACGCGGATGCACAAAATTACCAGTAACCTACAATGCTAAGAGCTCGCTGTTGATGACAGGCCTGCACACATTAATACAGACTGCCATGGAAATCTGTAATAAGGCTACGTAGGCTACTCACCCGAGAGCGCGTCCCGGAGCCAACTGCGTTTTGGCATGAGGTTAAGGTGTTGCTGTCCTGCTCCCCCCTTCAGCAATCCGGAGCTTTTTGGCGCATTAGATGTTGCTTTGATTACATAACTAAGACAAGCAGAGGTTAAAACACCTCCTAAAACCGAGTTTAAGGCTCATCGGAGCTCGGAGCCGACTGTGCAACAACATTGGCGCGGGTGTTTTCATAATCATACAGTCGACCGATCGGCGCGTCTCCGCAGCTAGGTGGCGGACTGGTTACACTCCTATGGTTACACTAGAGGCTCTTGTTTTTGCCCACTTCTTTCGGGAAAGTTACATCGCTCCCTTCCAGTAATAATGGCTCAGATTGTGCTCACACAAGCTGTTAACGTGTCCGGATGACGGGGCTGCAGCAGCGTGTGTGCGGGGTTACAGGCTGTGACATATAGAAGTGCGGGAATGCATTGCGTGGCCATTTTCGTGTGGCCAGAGGAGGAGATAAAATACAGCACAGGATCTCATTGCGGTTCATAACAGGCGATTGGGGAGGGCTATTTAGACTTAATAAAATGGCGACGACTTGTCTAAAGTGGGCTGCTGGTAGGAATTTGGGGAGCAGCTCAAAAGTTGTGTCGCTGTACGTAATATGGGATGGCTCTAGTGGGGGAGGAAGGAAAGGCAGGCTGGAGGGAAGCACTTATTCCAAAGTTAATACATGAGAGCTGTTTATTATGCATCAGTTAAACAGGAAATATGAATTCAAAACTACAAACAATGTTTTATTCACAGGAATGACACAACATCATGTGACATAAACATAATTATAATATATATATAATTATGTACAGCACTTTGGCTCGACCAAAAATCGTTGTTAAATGTGCTCTATAAATAAAACCTGATTTGATGAAGTGGACCTACAACTATTATATGACAATCGACCTAGTTATATCATTCATGATGATTTTAATAATAATATCACTTTCATTATTTGTATAGCTTGTGCTTTTGTGTTATTTAAAAATGTATTTAGTGATAATGGTAGAAAACTGTTTTCAGGATAGACACACAACAGCTTGGCCCAGTGACCAATGTGAACTTTTAGGATCTTAGCCCCATTTTCTCCTGTTTTACATGCATCGTTTACACTACTGTGTACAATTCTAAAAGACATATTAAGTGCACACTACAGATTAGCTTAATCGTGAATAAAGCCTCTACCTAGTAAACAACCTTTCTGAGGGTTTGCTGCTGTAAACACAATATGTTATTGTTATGGAAATGAAAAACACACTTATGTAAGAATGTGCACAAAAGATACTTGCTCCTCAGACTAAAGTTTTGTATTACTCCCTCTAAAAGACATTTTTATTTTAAATAGACATGTACAACATGGCAGACATACATGTACGAAACATAATGGTACAGAAAAACTACAATAAAAGTAAATTGAAATAACATTTTAAAATAACATAATTTTAAATTTACAAAAACTTGAAAAGAATCTCAGCATCATTTAGTGCTAATAAGAGTCTTTATAATATTTTAATTCACAAAACAATCCAGTAAAAATGGGGGGGGATAACTGATGGTATTCTGGATTTATATTTGTAAATTTTACTTTATATAAATAATACGTTTATGTGTTATTTTGTATCATATTCAAGAGATATATAATGACATTTTAATGTGTCAAACTGACAAACTCCATTTTCCTCAGTTGTTGTCGCCTGGCTCGCAGCGTCTTATTGGCTAAAAATAATTGTGATGGCGTGACGTCACTTCCTGCTGTGAGCTGCATGATGGCGGTGCCCATGACAGATCTGGCACATTGACTTTAACTGGAGGTGTGCAGTTTACCCTCTCTTTAAAACACTCCAGCGACATTTATCAGTTGATGAGCTAAACCGAAATCCTCGTCAGTGAATGTTGTTGAACTCAACAGCAGGTAAAGTTGCGCTTTAAATAACTCCTAGCATTGCTAATGTTTCCTGATAGGTTCCACAGCTAAGTTAGCTGTTAGCGTAGTGTTTACGCAAGGTTAGAGGACACTGCTGTCTTATGCACACTGTTCTCTTCTTTGGCTCTCCCCTTTATCTTAACTTAAATGCATATCGTCTTTCTTGTTTCAGATCATGGCTCTTCAAAGACTGTCCTTCAGACTACGGCAAACGGTAAGCTCACTGTTAGCAGGAGGTTTAAGATAAAGGAGAAGATGCAGACAGGAGCTGGACAGTATATGATTCAAAATCATTTTTTGATATATAGTTTTGACCTGGTTCAGCTGCTCTGTTTCATATATTGATGGTTGTGACGATTAACTGATCCATTACATAGATGTGTTCGTCTTTGGTAGGGTGCATTACTTGCTCTCATAAATGTATGAGAGCAAGAAGAATATAACTTAGCACAACCATTGTTTTACCGATGTTGTTAAAAGAGCTATTAATGGGAATTATAGCTCACATAGTAAGGTTAACATGTCCTTAAAAAATTGATAACGAATATCTAGCTAACCAACATTTAGAACACACTTTGTCATTTGGCACATGTACCATCCAGAGCAGTACTTTATGTCAAGAAAGCATCACCTGTGTGCTCTATTTTCCATGATATTCTTGTATATTCCTGCAAATACTCCCAACATATCTAAATCTGATCTACATGAATGTAGATCATAGCACATGTTTACACACAAGCCGTTTGACTTGGCTCACCTTTTGCTAAAGGTTCACCGTCGCTCTATTAAGGTGTTGTACTTTAATTGGGCGGTTTCTGATATAACGAGTTTTGACACATATCTATTAAATACCATGTATTCTGTTTGGATTATTTTTCAGTTAAACAGTGTCTTGATGGCCCATGTGGGCAAGGCACCCGATGTAAAGCATTTGAATACAAATATTGACTATATTAAATGTTTACAGGTAACACATGTTCGGTCCCTTCACACCAGTGGCTGTGGGCAGCAGCAGGCGGCTGAGGCTGTAGAGTCAAAACCTGAGCCGCTCTCAGTATTCAGAACACGAGAGAATGATCCGGTAAGCAGACCTGGTTTTACTCGTCAAAATGCTTACCTGCAGTGGAATAGCAGCTAACCTGCTTAGTTGAATCAGATTTGTTTGTAGCAGCAGTTGTCTGTACATTTGAATGATTTCAGTTGCCATGCTTACTGTCCTTCTCTTTCCAGGCATGTCATTCAGAGCAGCATATGGGACAGTATTACACACTGCCCTCCACACACATCCGCACCCTGTTCCCTCACGGTCTCCCAGGGCGCTATCAACAACAGGTATGTGCTTGTGTCTATGCATGCACATTATTTTTAAACTTACGGTGTTTTTGTGACTTTTTTTGTTAGAATGTACTCTAAAGAGAAATTGCCATGCATTTTCTTTTTTAGCTAAAGACGTTCAATGAAGCCTGTATGATGGTGAGGAAGCCTTCTCTCGAGGTCATCTCTTACCTGAAGAAAACAGACTTCAGCAAACCTTCGCTGCGATATTTATTCTGTATCCTTTACAACACAAACTCCCACTCACTCAGATAATCATGCTCTTCTTCTCTTGATGTTCTGATTGACCTGTTGTTAACCTTAATCAAGTTGTTCAGATGGGTTGAATGGCACTGGGAAGACAATGTCTCTCTGTCACACAGTCCACTACTGCTACACACAGGGATGGCTGGTGCTGCATGTTCCTGATGGTAAGACTAACACAAACACATTCTAGTGGATCAACTGCTGTCTCTGTACAGAAAGTATCAACAGTGACTCTTCTATGTCTTCTGTGTTTTTTCTAATACAGCTCACATCTGGATGAAGAACTGTAAGGAGCTGATGCCTTCATCCTATAACGACACTCGCTTTGATCAGCCTTTACAGGCCTCTGAGTGGTTACGCAACTTCAGAATCACAAACGAGCCCTTCCTCTCAAAGGTAATTATTTTCTGTGCTTTAATGAACATCAGTCATTAGACACTATTTATACAGGCTGCAATTTTACAATACGAACTCGATGACTCTGAGTATACATAGTCAAAATGAAGGCTTGTAAGTATAACAAAATGTGTCACAAAACCAAGCATGTAGGCATTTATAAGCTTTAAATTAGCCGTGACTGCATCTCACAGCAGTTTAGGTCACATGCTGATACACATTAGGCCATTAAACCTAAGCTTTATGACACCACCTGCATTTACCCACATGTACTGCTGTAAAAGCACTGTGTCTTTGCGTGGAGCAGGAGCAATATAACAGCATGATATGTTAGAGGTTTATTATTGTTGGAGAACGTTTTATACTTGAATGTATTGGGATGGAGGATGTTAGGTACTTAAGTGTTCTTTACCGTGTAAAAATGAATATAAATAAAGAAGTTCTATCTAGTTTCCTACATTGATTATGGTTGGGTTGTAATATAAATTAATGTATTTGGCATCATGGAACAAACTAAAAGATTGGTAGCTTTATGTGAAAAAAACATTAAAGACCTGGTTCATGAAGTAACGTGAGGAGGTAGCCCATGCACGCATATTCAATGAAACTGTTTTTTTTGTCCCAGATAAAGACAAAGCAGCGCTATGTGTGGACAAAGAGAGAGTCTACTGAGGAGGGGAGTTTACTAGGACAGCTGGTGGATCAGGTGAGTCTTCTCACACATTTCTTTGGCTCTAAATATTGATTTGTGTTCATTTGAAATGTGATTTATCTTAATCTATGAGACATTTTCATCAGTTTGTTGTATTTTCTGTCTGGTACCTATTCTTCCCTTCTTATGCCCTACCGATTTCCCCACAAGGGGTCATTGAAATTGAATCTCTCACGTTGCCTGTGCTTAGCGGTGATCAATAGCCAATGAACTGAGCATGGAGATGGATCAGCACAATATTTTTGGACCATAGTCACTGACAAAGGCAGAACAAAGCAGTAGATTTATGTTCAGCTTGTGAATTTTAACACCTCTTCCAATCACTCATCTTGCTCTGTACTTTTCCTCCCTAATAAGGAATCAATGAGACATTAGTGCTGTCCTAATTTGTCTGTCTTGTCACAAAAACACATTTTTGGTCTCTGTTGTAGTCTGTAAATAGATCTGATATTAATAGCCATCCTCCTGACAGCACATTATTAGAACAAAAAGTTCTGTTGTGTTATGTTAGTAACTGCTTTATGTATATCATACAACTATTTTTACCCATGCAGTAGTACTATCCAAGACCTGTAAACATGCTTTGATCTGTCACATTGGTGTAGTGGGCCCTTTAGTTGCTTTCAAGAAAATGTCATCAGGGGTCTGATGGTATATATTTGTTATGCTATAGGGCATATCTCGTGTGAAGACCAGCAGCGACGTGGTGGGGGCGGTGTTGAAGGAGCTGAGGCTGCAGAGCGGGCAGCCGGAGTCAGACTTCCGCATGGCCGTGGCTGTTGACGGTGTCAACGGCCTGTGGGGAAGATCCACCATCAAGAAGAAGGATAAGAGTCCAGTAAGGAAACACAAGAACAATCCTGTCACACCTCATATTTGTCTTGTCTTTCAGTTTGGACTGATTAGAGGTGTTGCCTGTTCTCTTTTCACCATCATCAGGTGGAATCAGATGAGCTGACTTTGGTTTATAACCTGAAGAAGCTGCTGACAAAGGACTGGGTGAGCAGAAAGCACTAAAGACCATGACTACTGATGCATAAGAATATTGTGTTTGTATTAGTATTTTGTTCCCAGTTGACATACACTCTCTTTGTCTCAGACTGGAGGCGCCATCATCACCACTCTGTCTCAGACGGGGTCTCTCTACACTTCGAAATTTGACTACTTGCCTCAAGAGCTGCTGGGAGAGGTCAGAGAACATTTCAATGTACTTTGCTTAGCTCTTGTCCTCACGCTCTGACAGCAGATAAGTCTTACTTTCTTTCTAACTTTGGTCATTTGTCAGGTAAATATCAAACCTGGCCTTTTGACTGCTTCACTCCTCAGAACTGGTGTGCTAAAGTCGTTTAAGATTTAGGATTTAAATAAATTGATGCACACAGCAGACAACTGGACACCAATTAAACTGTGTATCATAGAAGGGTCATATAACAATCTTGCCACTTCACCCAAATAGAACATAATGTGATGTTATAATTGCATAATATTAATTAATTTAGCCTTTATTTCTTGACAAATGATCAAAAATGATATTAAAATAGTTTCAAGATGCAATTATCTGCTAATACTCGTCTTTGATTATATAATGATGAATGTTAAATACAGTAACTGGGCCTGTGGTGCATTATGAACAATGATAAATGTGTTCAAAGTTGTTGATTTATTGCATCTAAAGAGTGATATTTTCTGATAATGTTAGAGATTGATGTTCTGGATGTTGACTCTCTGTGTGTTTTGCTCTTCAGAGAGGGTTTGACAGCATGGACCCGTTCCTCCCGGTGTCGGTGCCCAACTACAGTGAGAAGGAGTTTGAGAGCTGTTACCTCTACTGGCTGGACCGCCAGTGGCTGCAGCATCCGCTGAGTGAGTGATCCGACTGTGGATGTTTATCTTCATATGAAAATATGTTTATGTGATGATGTTTAGTAACTCTAAATTATGTTCTTCCCCCTCTTCAGGTCGAACAGAGGAAGGAAAGAAAGAAATCATCTTTTTGTGCAACAGAAATCCATCATTGATGGACAGAGTTTGTGCCTCCCTATAAAGACCTGAATCCCTCTCAAATGTCCGTGTCCATAATATCTATAAAATATGATGCATGTGTGTTTCTTTGATAATAAAATGTTGAATAATATAAAAAAGTACTTTGCTTGTTTAATTAAAGGAAGTTGGATAATAACTTGGCATCAGTTTTAAAAAAAACAGTAAATTCAAAATGCGGTCTTAATTTTCAATTACCTCAGTTTTTAGTATTCAGACATAAGATAGATGCCATGGAAAATATCAGGTCTAGGACTATGGATTTGAAAAGCCTCCTTTTATTAATGAAAAATGTTTAATCTGCCACCTAGTTAAGACAATTTCTTTTTGTTATTGAGTTGGGAAGCTAGGAGGGAAATTAGTGCAGAAATACTTTTAAACCCATATTTTCAGACGTACAATGTTTTACTTTGACAAAGCTATTACAATACGAATAAATAGGTTGTATAATATACTTAAATATACACGAAATAGCATTCGTACTGTCTTTGTTAACTTAAAAAAAGTCAGCAGTCAAACTGAACTCCTTTAGCCTAGTTTATGGTACAGCGTCACCTGGCGGCTATCCACATTACTGCGAGGTTGGTCACGTGATATTTACAAAGTCACATGACTGGCCAGAAGTCCCATTTGACGCCAAAACACAGGGGTCTGAGGAAACGCTGGTATGGCAGATTGGACAAAGTTAAGGTGACAGTCGAGGGTGAATATTTTCTAAATTAACCAGCGGGACATGCCAGAGTTTCTGTCTGCTTCCTCTGAGGTGAGATAATGTTCTCTGAATGACATGACAATAACATGTGTGTGTCAGCTAAATGAATAGAGCAGTTGGGTCTTTGTTAACCTGTATTTAACAATTCAGGTGCTGACTTTGTATGATTTCTACCTGGCAACACTGGAACATTATTTATTTGCAGGTAAAATGGCGTTGTCTTCATCAGTACTTTTGGTTCTTGTTTTCCTCACAGCTGAAGTGACCCTCTCTACAGGTAACATAGAACAAGTTGCAATTGCCCAAATGTGTGTGTCCTCTTTTGTTGCTTTAAGGGACACATATGTCTTTTGTGCATCAAATCAATCCTGTATCTATTACTTATTTCCCCATCCAGGAAGCAATGAATGTGTTGCCAGAAACTTTGGCCATGGCTCTGTGGTGTGTGAGTGTAATTCCACCCACTGTGACAGTGTGGGGTCCGTCACCCTGCATCCTCTGGGACAGTTCTCCTCCTACCTGAGCAGCAGGGCCGGCAGCAGACTGGAGGCAGGCAGGGGGGCGGTCCAGGGGAACAGCACCGGGGCAGGTGAGAGACGGGGAGTCTGTGGAGTTGGAGCTACAGCTGCAAAGATGTATTAATTCAATGTTTAGTTGTCATCTATTAAATCAAACACCAACTATTTTGAGAATAGATTAATCTGTACATTTCTCCCATTCCAGCTTCTTACATTATATTTGACTTCCTGGTTCCTTATCTAAACTATGACGGGAAACTAAATATAGTTGTTTAGTGAACAAAACATTCACTTGGGTAGGGCTGTTCTCTCTAAAACAGATTTGTATTCGACTCACACAAAATTAAAATGTTGTTTACCTGATAGCTGCTCAAAAGTGTCTCTGTCATAAGTCATTCAGCAGCTAAAGAGCTTAAAAAATGACTTATTGATTAAAGAAGTATTAGTTGACTTAGCAAACAACCACTTGGACCACTTGTAACATTTTATAGACGAACAGGATTTAAAGATTTATCTAGAAGAAAATTCAAAGAATATTCCACAGCATCTTTCTTCTCTTTCAGGTCTCAGGTTGACCATCGTTCCCTACCAGAAGTACCAGAAGATCAGGGGGTTCGGAGGAGCCATGACGGACGCAGCAGCCATTAACATCCTGTCTCTCTCTGCCGGGGCACAGGACCAGCTGCTGTGCCAGTACTTCTCCCCTGAAGGTACACTCAGTAAAAGTCAAGTCAAAGTCAAAGTCACTTTATTGTCAATCTTTCAGTTTGTGTGTACAGACAGAGAGATCGAAATACCCACAATTTCCCACAATCCCGAATACAAAAATACAAATGTATATAAAAATATGTATATCCTATATATACACAATCAACAGACACATTTATACATATGCACACATTAAGACATAAATAAAAGCACAACAATCAATATATACAAAATAACAGTCACTTCAATATCTTTGGGAAATGTACATTAGTGCAAGATTGTCCATAGCAGCGTAAAAAGACTCCTGGAAATGACCACTTTTTATGCAAAAGTAGGGATATTGATATTCTAAACCAATTATTAGTATACTGCTTATAAGTGCAAAATAGTAGAGCTACAACGATAAGACGACAAATTGTTTTTATTATATTATTATTATAGTATTTTTTAATTTGAACTGATTGATTAGTACTTATCCAGAAAAATAATCCAGTGAATAGACATTGTAAAAGAACCAAAAACAACAAACACATGTTAGCAATACAATTGTATTCTGTATGATCAACTGGTTTTATTGATTATGTCAACAAAGCAAAAAAGGAAAAGTATAAGTGTAGTTAAAAAACCCCAGATAAATCTCATAACAATCTGAGGGTCACTAGTGATGGTGTGGAATGATAATGCAGCCCTTAGTCCTTTTGATGCTGTGTGTCTGGCAGGTATTGGTTACAGCGTGGTGCGTGTCCCCATGGCCAGCTGTGACTTCTCCACCCGTCTGTACACGTATGCCGACACACCTGGAGACTACAACCTAGACAACTTCACGCTGGCCCCCGAGGACATCAAAATGAAGGTCAATATAATCTCCTACTCACATATAACCTTCAATCCATAACTCTATGCTGCCTACACAGTATGATAATTGAGGGATTTCCAGCTCTTGATAAGTATAGGAAAAAAAATGAGAAAAAATACATTCAGACTATTATTAATATTATTAATTATTTATGTTTAAAAAAAAAAAAAAAATCAAATGTACATTAGTAAATTGATCATACAAGCAGAGTGTTTTTCATGGCTATTGGACCTGCTTTCTACATTTTGTGTGAAAGGCACTCTTTTAAAATAGAATTTCTAATTTATATTGAAACTTTCTCCAATGTATTTGTTTAACAGTGTTTAAGTCTGTTTTACTCCATCTCCAAAAACCAATAAAGCAAAAATCAATTGATGTCCATTAAATGCCATGCTTTAAACATGTCTGGGTTTGTTGTTAATAGATTTGTATGAGCTACAGTACCTAACTACCTTCTCCTGGAAATAGCATACATAGTCATAATGTAATGTACATATAGACAATTAGATTGATATTAACATGCTAAACATCTAGCGAGTTTTTTCTCATGTGTGAAATATGTTCTGTCAGGAATTCATGAAATGTGAGTCGGGAAAAGTTTGGAATTTAGAATTTGAAAATGAGTAGGAATCCTTCCTCCTCTCAGATCCCTCTCCTGCAGCGCGCTCAGGCCTTGTCTCCTGTCCCTCTGTCTCTGCTGGCCAGTGCCTGGAGCGCCCCCGCCTGGATGAAAACTAACGGGGCCCTCATAGGAAAAGGCTCTCTGAAGGGGCAGCCTGGGGGCAAGGAGCACAAATCCTGGGCCCAGTACTATATCAGGTGACATGTTGGGCTTTACCTTAATGCAACATCACATGTTTGTAATGCTTCATCCAAGGGGTACTTATTCTGATGGTCACTTTTTTCTTTCCTCTCAGGTTCCTGGAGGAATATGCTAAATATAACTTGACCTTCTGGGCTTTGACCACAGGGAATGAGCCCTCTGCAGGACACATAACAAACTACAGGTCTCTCCTCACATTATATTACACAGAATTAACTGTTATCATCACTCCTAGATTTCACAACGGACTAAGAAGTATCTTATCTTGCAGTTTCCAGGCTCTTGGCTTCACTCCTGAGGAGCAGAGGGACTGGGTGGCTCTGGACCTCGGCCCTGCCCTGCACACGTCCTCACACACACACACACACGTCCTCATCCTGGATGACAACCGCCTGCTGCTGCCTCACTGGGCTAAAGTGGTGAGTCCAAGGACGAAGAGGAAGTTGGCAAAGTTATAATAAACTTTGTTATACCTGAGGCTACTCTGGCGCTGCAGGAAGGAAATTAGGAATTGTATCATAAAGCAGTATAAGACAAGAAAATGTCTTAATCATTACGACTTTAACTGGATAACTTAAGATATGATGCAATATAAATTAACCCAATTTAAAACAATTTGAAGATCATCGATTTTAATAAAACATAATTGAAGTTCATTTAAGTTTCTGGTAAAATGGACACTTGCCTATTGTGAGACCATGAGCTTCTTAGCTACTGTAGCACTAATAAGGGCCTTTTGTCCATCATTTTGCACCAGACTTACTTTTCGTTCGTAGATGTGCAGGCAAGAGAAAATATCACTATTGTAAGTGAATACCATATATCTCACCCCTTCCCCTTTTGAACAAGCTTTGTAATGCTTCATGACTACCTCTGCATTTTATGTGGAAACTCACTTATTTTTCTCCCCTCGTCCCTCCAGGTCCTAAGTGACATTCACGCAGGAAAGTACATTCACGGCGTTGCGGTCCACTGGTACCTGGACAGCCTGGTCCCAGCTGAGATCAGCCTGGGAGTCACACACCATCTCTTCCCAGAGTATTACCTGTTTGGCACCGAGGCCTGCTCTGGTTTCAGCCCACTAGACAGAGGGGTGAAGCTGGGTGGCTGGGACAGGGCTGAACACTACGCACGGGACATTATAGAGGTGAGGTCTGCTTATATCTTTGCATGAGACAGTGTGATGGATTTAAAAAAAAAAGATGTGAGGTGATCCTGAAAGGTGAATCCCCTCCCTGGATGCTGCAGTGCAGGTTTACACTCTTCAGAAATCGCCTGCGAGCTGGGACTGGTGTTTTGTTTCTCCTTTCTTCACTCTCCCTCTAATGAAATAGGACTCCCTCCATTCTATCTATTTTGCATGAGTGCTTTCAGATCTAGACATCTTGAGAATCAGGAGGGATTTGTTTATGTAGATGTGCTGTCTTTGTGACATTCAAACAAAACACCAGGCACCAGTCCAGGTGATTAATTAAAACAAAACACCGCCTCTTAATACAAAGTTAAAGCCCAGACTAGATGCTAAACTGTGGGTGTTTTCTCTGCGGCAGGACTTAAATCATTATGTGGTGGGTTGGACTGACTGGAACCTGGCGTTGGATCAGACTGGTGGGCCAAACTGGGTTAAAAACTTTGTGGACAGCCCTGTTATAGTGGACGCAAAGCGGGATGTGTTCTACAAGCAGCCACACTTCTACAGCATCGCCCACTTCAGGTAAACAACGTCATCTTTGTTCATATTACAGGAACAGCATTTTCATCTCGTCCAATATTTGAAGGAGACGGTCCAATGAAATCTAACCAAATCACATTATTACACAGTAAGTTCCTGTTGGAGGGGTCTCAGAGAGTGGGTGTGTTGGCCAATCAGCACACTGATCTGGAATACACTGCCTTCATCAGACCAGATGGCTCAGTGGTGCTCATCATTCTCAACAGGTAAGTCAAATGTGTGTTAGTGTAAAATATGGAAGAAAGGAAATTGAATGAAAAAGGAAATTGTGTGTTTGGGTTTTGTAGGTCATCGACCGTGATCCAGTTTGAAGTCTGGGATCCCGCTGTGGGTTACATCTCCTCCACAGTACCGGACCATTCATTGATCACTCTTGCCTGGAATACACAATAATCATTAATACAAGTTGACATACATTTGTTCCTACTCAATCACAAATATCTCTATTCATGTCAAAATGCCACAACGTTGGATTCTCTCTCACACACCTTTTCTAATTAATTGGTTGCAAGATTGATTTATTATCTGCTGTACTTCAGTGCAGTTTTGGCGATTTCTCTTAACGTCAGCAAACAAGAGTATTTTCAACTAATTAGACTTTTATTCCTAAGCCAAAAATGCTTTTTTCTGCACTGACTCCTATCAGGAATGATCTTAGAAAGTACTGAATGTATGTATTGGTTCTCCAGGATGACCTGTGTTGAAGCTGGTGCCTTGATCGGCAGCTTTAAAATGGTTTAAGTGTCCTTACAATATCTAAAGACAGAATATAAATGATGTACAGAAATTGTAAATGCTTCATGCTTTTGCTATTTAATTTTTAAATAAAGTGCATTTGTCTTAAAATATAAGTTTGAAGTATCTTTGGGCGCGGAGGAAAAATTGAACCAGGAATCTTTTTGGTCAATTTATTAATACATCATAGACATTTTTCATATATATAATATACAGTTCGATAACCAGGTATTTCACATTTGTGTCTCCATTCTCATTTTTTTTTCCTTTTGCAAACCATAACTTGGACTAAAATTATTTACATCAGAAAAGTGATAAAAAAAATTGAAACAAAAGACAAACAGAGGAATAAAACAACAGAGGGATGCCATTTGTTTATAATATATACACTCGGAGGAGAATGTTTAAATCTTAAATCATTCAATAAAGGGCGGTTTTCATTCCCTTACAGGTATGGTGTTTGATGTGTTCCCAGAAAGCTGTGACTTTCATTTAAAAGTCACAGCTTTATTTGAGGCCATTTTACAGCAGCGACTCAAACTGATGTCTATAAAATACTTTGTGTCCTGTTCTTAAAGTACGTTACAGAGGATGGACGCAATAACATGAACCTCTTTAGAATGCAATCCAACAAAACACTAGAACAAATAACCAACAAAACACTAGAACAAATAACCAGAGTTAATCAAGTTCTTCCTGAGAAAATCTCAACAGGAATGCATCATTTATCTTAAACATAGGGTTTATTGCAGGGCTACAGGTGTTCATGTTATTAAGTCCAGACTCTGTAAATACAAAGAGTGAAGGTAAACCCTACAGTTATGCCGTCCAGGGCTCAGTTGCAGGACTTAGCTCATTTTCTGTAAAGAGGGCGTGGTATATGATATAAAGTATGGCATTTCCCCACAATAGTGTAACGCAGCAGTGCATTTTAAGAAAGATGGCAAAGGAGGTTGCTTGAGGGATGGAAGTAGAGAAGACATGGGCTTGATCATCATCATCAATCTAGGCTGGTTTCTTATGCGGCAAAAAAAAGAGTCTCCTTGACCTCGACCGACCGTTAAGACGTCTGTATGGAAATCTGTATACATGGTTGAGGAGAAAAGGCATTAAAATAGAAAATAAAAGTAGAAAAATCCGACTGAGATGATTATGACCGCAACGGAGATGAAAGGAGGCGAGTGAGAAGCGCTGTGTCTTCTCGTGTGGTGGATGTGGGCGAGGGGAACCAAGGGATCAGACGGGTGGAGGGTATCAGAAGGACCATCTCTCCTGTGTGCGGGGGTCCATGGACAGGGTGGGGGACTCTGATGGGGGCTGGCTGCTGCTGTCTTCTCCGTTCAAACTCTTCCTACACACTGGACATGTGTCATGCTGTGTGGCCACAGAACAGAAAGTACATGGCATTAGTTTTTGGCAGTTTATCAAGTGGACTCTTTATTTTAACAGATGCTCAGGCTGTTCTTTGACTTTAAATGGCAGGATTTTGCCGGTACAAAACCCAAGATTGTCAGTTTAGTGTCATATAAAGAGAAAAGCAGGAAATCTTTTGTGATTTTTGTATGAACAATTACTTGAATGGCGATGTTTTTCTGACTGTTGACTAATAACTTTTTTTGTTGTGGCTCTGCCCACTCAAAAAAACCCTTGGCAAAATTCCCCACAGCTAATATTAGCAATGTGAGCTTGGGAAAACAAATCCTGCATTTAGCATTGTTTTTTTATTGTACTGCATACTTTACTTTGATATTAGTTAGTACAAGTAAAAAGGATGGCAATATTCTACATTTTCCTTTTCCACAAAGCTCATGAAAAGACAAAAAAACAAACAATGGATTGATCTGAATAACTATCGTAATACTTTTTCCTACAACTCCTACTCCTATTTAGCCAGGGTCAGATACAGCTTATTCCTTTGTTCCTTATTCCAACTTCCACTGTTTTTGAAAAACGATTAAGAACAATCAATGAGATAATTACAGCACGAGCGCTGATATTATCTTGTATATTATCTTGTATATTATATCCTTGTAAGGACCTATTTTATGAGTTTATAATATAAAGTTCCACCCTCTTTGTCATGACTCACCATTTCCAGCCAGGGTACTATACAGTCTGAATGAAAGAGGTGGTTACAGGGTAGCTGTCTGACTGGCTCTCCCACTGCGAAGTCCTCTTTGCACACCGGACATTCCATACAGCAGTCTGCAGCAGAGGAGAGAAAAAGCATTTATAAATACCCCTGTGATTCCTAATAATAATAATAGATGTAATTTATATAGCGCTTTTCCTGGTGCTCAAAGCACTTTGCAAGCAAGTAAAGAAAAATAACAACAAAAGGGGAATAGGGGCGAGGGGTTAAAGGGTTAGGAGTTGAAGGCAAGAGTGAAATACATTAATTATCGCTTAATGATACATATGTTTAGGGGACAAACAACAGATCATTAGTTCTGTATCAAAAAGTGTATTAGCACTAAAACGTTTAAACTACCAAGCACGGTCTATCCTAATTACTGAACAAATGTATACAAAAAGATTTTAAAAGCCTGGCAGATAAATACAAAAAAGAAGGATATGTCGTGGTTTCTCAAGACAGCCATCAACAGACTTGAAGCATGGCTGCCTAAATAAACCACACAGGTACAGGTGACTGGTAAAATAGGACCGCACATATAAGAAGTCAAATAGCTCAGATGGAGAGGAGGACTTGGAAAGAATAAAATGGGATGTGAAAGACCAGCAAGCAAAAATAGTAAATATGGAAAACATTGTTGATACTCTCAAGGTTAATGGGCATTTCGTCCCAAAGAGACACGCTTTCTTTGTCTTCTTTTGGCAGATGGCTACACAAGTGACTTTTCAAGCTGTATCCAAGTGCTGCACAGACTTCTAAACAACTAAAAACGAATAAACATAATGACAGATGTGCTCTTAGCATTTCTCGTTTTTTTATTTACTATATATGAGGACACATTCCTTTGTATGCATGTACAATTCAGTAGTGACTTAAGAATTCAGCGATGCCATTAAATCAATACTTAATAATGTATTCACAAAAAGTGAGTCCAACCAAAGATGTGCACTTGGATAATTGTCTAAATACATTTGTTGCATACAGAGCATCCAGCTATATCCTTGTCCAATATTTCAATTTGCACTTCAGGGACTTAACTAACATGGTGAGATCAAGTGAGAAAAACGGAAAACAAAGACTAACTAACCTGCTTGTTCCTGAGAGATATTGACTGTTGGGAGAGAAGAGATCTTCTCTTTCTCTGCTGGAGGAGGTCCCGTGTTCTCCAACTGACCTAGTAACTATGCACACAACACACATGTATAAACATCAGAGAAATCCACAAGGTGGCCAGGACATAAAGCTGGAGCTCATTTTGGTTTACCTGTGTTATCACAGCGTCTAACCCTCCCTGTCCCCAGGCGTAATCCCCTGGGTTGGAGTGCAGCATCCCCGTCCTGAGAGAGACAGACAAGTTGATAAGAAATAGTGCCAACACTGTAATGCTAACACTGTGATGCTAGCACTGTGATGCTAGCACTGACACTGTGACGCTGCTGTGATGTCATCTTACCACGAGAGGGGAGGTGAGCCGGGGACTCCAGAGTTGGCAAAGAGACCGGCGAGAAACTGTTGTACAATCCTAATGAACAGACAGAAAATATAAAAATGACATCACCAAAAATCAGAGGAGAAAAGTTTGTAATAGCACAGTTATTATTGAATGATTCTAAGTGGGAGTATGCGTGGTGGGGTGTGGGTTACTCACCCCTCCACAGCAGGAGAGCGGTCTGGTCTGCTGCTGCCTCTGGAGCGGTATCTCCTCTGGCTGTGTAGGCGAGGCGGGCGTCCCGGTCCCCAGTGATCCCCGGCCCCTAGTAGACTCCCCATAGGTCCCCCAAGGCCTGCTGGGACTGACCCCCCGATCGGTCCCCCTCCCAACCCCCCCAGGTCACTCAGACCCCCCAAACGCCCTCCAGGGAGCCGGGGTTCCGAGTCCGGTGTGTCAGCGTCTGTTGTAAATGGCCGCTCCAGTAACAACAGGTGCCATAGCTACAGGGAGGGTGGGATTGGACAGGGAAGGGTCCGGAGAAGGACAGAAAGGGGGTTAGGGATAGGAAAGCAGGCAGCACAATAGGAAAAGAGAGGACATAAACATGCAGTAGCAAAAAGAAGGACAGGGAGGAGAGGGTAGGGAAAGACAAAGTTAATTAAAACGTAAACAATTATTGCAATCAATCTTCTCCCACCCTATTCCCCCCCAAAATCCCTCAGGTCAGCTTGTACCTCTGCAAATTGTGTGGCTGCGTCATCTATCCCGTTAGCGCCACCCTCTAGGAGACTGAGGGGAAATGCGCAAAAGAAACACATTATTAGAAATGTCCACTGAACCCTAACACATGTTCAGGTTTAGTGATGTCTTGGACAAAGCTGTATGGCTAGCCTACAAGCTTCTACAGAAAATATGTTGGTTCATGTGAATAAGAAGAGAACACTAAGTGTTGTCTGGAGAAGTGAGGTAGATACGTAGAATAATGAATGTCTCACCTTGAGTCTTCTGTTACTTCCTCTATGAACCCTGAGTCACATCTCGGACAGATATACTCCTGGAGAGAATCACGACAGAACTGGGTCACACAGAAGTCATACCCGCAATAAAACAATTCAGCATTTAATTTACTGGAAATCTAAGAGTCTCTTTCATTCCTGTTTTTTTATTTTAATAAGCTTTAATTAATTCTTTCTGGTGTGTGTTTAATAGTAAATGTTATTGTTTTATTATCTTACTATCTTATTGTATAGTCTCTCTTAGTTTATTCCTACTTTTCTGTTCTTATTTAACTGTAATTTTATTGGATTCAGTTTTTTTGTTTCTGCAGTGAAGCTAAAAGTCTAATATTACTACTATAACTATTAAAATGTTGGTTTTGTTGTTTTGTTCGACCAAAAGTGCACAACAGTCTAAAAGATATTCAGTCTGCAACAATATAATACCAAGAACATTTTTACATTCTCACACTGGGGAAGCAAGAACCAAAAAAGGTTTATCATTTTTTACATAATGTTTTTTAGCTCTACTTTAGCTAAATGACTACGTCATGA